TCTAAACAGATTATCACAAATTTCAATAAGGTTCGTTCTTGGGACAAATAAATGATCAGTGCCAAATTTCATCTCATTCGGATAATAAATGCGAGCTGGATTTTGTTTACAATTTAACATGAACAGACAGACGGACATGCAAACATCGACTCAGAAAGTGATTCTGTGCGTATTCTCAAAATGAAGCATGGGTTGAAAGTGGTTGAATGTTTTTTTTTTTTAGAAAATCTGTAGGATGTGGAATACTATTAACGTATATAATCCGTTTACAAATTATTGATATAATCGTTCGAATTTATACAAATCGGTCTTCGAACACAGTTTCTTATAGGGGTTCGACTTCAACTTTAGCAGAAGACTCATAGATATCCATAATACATAACTACGAACTTGCTTCAAAATCTTATTGATGGCCAAGAAAGAGAATAATGATATAGGTTTGTTGCTGTTGCTGTAAAATCAAATTTAGAGTTCAGGACAAACTTGAAACAAGCTCGTATGAAATATCTTCTGTGTAATTGGTACCCTCGAGGTGCAGTGTTTCTAACTCCTAAGACTGCCAGTCAGTCAGTCTTATTTTGGATTTGGCAGTTTCAAATATTGAGCGATCGTCATCACAAACTGCCACGTTAATTCATTGGCGAAATCCAATTCCCCACTTACAATTTCGTGATATTCAGTTCAAATCTGGAAACAAGACGCGACTCGGTGCTCCAAAGTTCCATTGCGATCCTGTATTTTTCCAAGTCTATTAAAATTCGCCAAGGCAGTGTGGGTATAAATTTGAATTGGTTGAGATTCTGATCTGATATGCTTAAAAATTCAAAACGATACACAAAGGAAAAAACAGAAAAACACACACAAATGATCAATAACTGCCTGTACCTATAATGGACGCACACACATAACTAAATCAATACATACAGTGAGTCACAGTCGAAAGTATCTACTTGTTTTTTCTTCGGGGACTGAGGAAATGTTTAAATCACGTTTGGACAATTCGCTAATGATCTGGGACTTGTGTTTGGGGTTATTATCTTGATAAAATTAAATGTTGTTCCCAATCACAATTCTTCATCACTACATTTCAAATTGTCTTTTAGAATGATTAAATAACAAATCTTATCTATAATTTCATCAATAAAACGAGATGTCCTACTCCGGCAGCGCCCATCACAGAGCCTCTTCCGTACTTTATGGTCGGAGTAGTGCGCTTAGGGTACACGGCTTTATTCGCTCGGTGTCGTGCTTTACTTGGTCCATTCGGCCCAAACAAATTAAATTTGCTTTCATAAGCACAAATAACAGATTTTTCAGTGCAACTCAACCCAAAAGACCATCGTTATGCAAAATTCTGCGAATTATTTCTGGGTTACCTTTCTCTTCCAGATTTCTCTGCGCTTGCAGCAAGTTTAGGTGCACTTACGAATATTTTTAGGGCATAAATAAGTAGTTTTAAACACATTCATAAATCATTTGTAAACCTCGGCAGGGAGTCGACGATACTATGCTGCCTACTGCACACCGTCTCTTAAATATTTTTTTTCCTTCATTTTCAATAAAGATAACATACATATTTAATTATACATTCAAATATTATAATTCGTTTTTAATTAACAATTCAATGCATAATTCATCTAGAAAACAATTCGATCTATTCACACGACCTTGTCTTTTTTAGGTTACGTACACACAATAAATCCATAATCGTCGTTTTTTATTACATCCTTAAATATTTGCGCCCTCAATACTAAATACCGATTATGAATCCAAAACGTTTGTCGTTTTATTTACGCAAAAATAAAATGAAATAAAAAATACGCTTTGGTATTGCATGCAAATAAATTGCAAATTTTCTATTTATTTTAGAATTATTCCAAATGAATGCTGCTCATTCGATGGAAACAATTATTGGTTATTTGTTCTGTAATGGCTTGCAGAGAATTGCAATGACGGTCTATCATTCTACCATTGATTTATCTATTCAAATTTCCCAACAATTTTACCTACAATATTTCGTTTGTGTAAACACTCAACTTTTGGCCCAGGATTAGTGAAAACGAAAGGCGGGATAATTCAATAAAGTAAAGGAGAAAAAAGCTCCGCAGCATATCCATTAGAGCTGAGAATGGAATATTGAAAAAACAATGAATAATTTTAGAGTTTTCTTGGTTTATCTATTCAGCTATCGATGGCTGACGGGGCAGGGAATATATAAAACTATTTCCATGTTGCATTTTTATTGCCTTCGTTAGAAGTAGCGGCAGTGATAGGGAGGGAGTTGATGAAACATTTTATCAAAATTTGCAAATTTTCAAAGCTTTTTTGTTGCGATGCTTTTATCTGTCGTACTTTTGATGATGCCATCGCCTTGACTTTTGTGAAATCTTTCGCCTTGTTGCTCGATCGCTGCCTTGTGTATAACACTTGCCTCTCTCTCAGTCTACCCATGAACCCCGTAAACTTATTCATAACTATGATTAACTGCATTTGGGATATAATAACCTCGGGTGCATTTTAATTTTTAATTAAACCAAACACCAGCCATCTAGCCAGAATCATCGTTGCTGCCACAATAAAACTTTTCGCTAAAATCAAATTCAAACAATCCGTTGTGGCGATAGTTTTGCCGCAACGACGAAGACGGCGATGATGTCGAGGTGGCATCGATAGCGGATTGCTTAAAGCTCGATGATGCAATAAATGAATGCGAAAACAAGCAAGCAACCAACCAAAAAAGGTTTAAAATAAAATCTGAAACGACCGCAAGGGATTAATGGCGTTTTTTTTTTTTGAATTATGCAAAAGTTTGTTTCATCCCAAAAACTAGGAGGTATCCATAGATAGTGATTGTGAGATAAATTGGAAAATGATTTTGCGCTATGTTAGTTATAGAATATTTAAATTGAACGAATAAATATTTTATTTTAGTTAGGTCGTCGGGAAAATATTTTAATATAGAATACAACAATCTTGCGACTGCCGGATTTAGGACAAAATACTTAAGATATTTTGACAAAAAAATATAAATTCCGAAAAGTTCTCTTAAACATTTGCAGAGTCTTAATTCGAAACTTAGCCGGATTACAAAATTCCACTGAATTCCTCTCAACAACAACCTCTTCTATAGAATACAAACCTATACTTTTTCAACAATATTAACAATTCAAACGCAGGGGACTTTAAGGTGTATAATACCCTTGAATATTTGGAGTTGTCAAATTACTTTTTTCTGAAATATTTATGCCATGTATTATTGATTTGCTCTCGGTATCTTACTTCCAAAAAGATTAAAAACTTCGTTTAAAATCATTCGGCAACTATTTCAGGAAATTGAATATAGATATATTTTCTAGGTCCATGAAAATACAGGGCCTCAGACTATGACTATGAACTACTGTCTTGAAACCTCCGACAGAAAGCAGTGTATGACATGTGATTTTGCAAATTATATACCTGGCCATAATCATGGTTATCCAATAAATAGAGATTCGCATAACCTTTCTATGTATTGGTTAAAGAACCGACTGAAAGTCTGTTCTATATTTTTGCGGTGTATTGTATCAATTCAATGGTTCATTGCTTTAAGCCTTAAAGCCGCGACCGTCACTTATTATTTTATTTGAATTTCTAGGCCCTAGATGGTGTTGTCCAACGTACGCAGGATTTTATTTTGGGGTGTGGGTGGAAACTTCTGGTTCAATATAAAAATTGTCATCGCAGAAAAACATTTTTAGGCGTACGTCCCTGGAGGCTATACCTAAAGCGGGACCAATATTAATTACATCGTGTAGGAATTACCGAATATTTGAATTTAGAACCGATATAGCTCAATTTCGGAACTAACATTAAAAAGGGGGCTATATGGGGACTACCCCTAAAAAGAGGCGATTATTATTAATATTTGGCAGGGAGATTTATTATCAAATACGACTACAAAATTCCAAATTACAGCAAATTCGATTGAAAAACGCGCTAAAGAGCCCTAAAATACCGAAAACTAGCTATAACCGTATATGGGGGCCACACGAAAAAATTGTCTTATATTTATAAATACTAAATTACAACCAATTCGGGCGAAAAATGCGATTAAAACCCCTAAAATACTGAAAATTGGAGATATCGTTATATGTGGCTACCAGCAAAAGTGGACCTATATTTGGTATCAAACAAGAACCCTGGGTACCAAATTTCAGCAAATTCTTTTGAAGAAATTGCTGAAGAACCCCAAAATGCCGAAATTTGGGGATACCTTTATATGGGGGCTACCCGAAAAATTGGCCTATATTTATAATTATTAGTGGAGAAATTTGGCACCTAATAAGAACCCAATGTACCAAATTTTAGCGAACATTTGGGGATACCCTCATATGGGAGCTATCCTTAAACGTGGACCGATATATCCCATCTTCGAAATTGACCTGCCTGCAGACATAGGAATACTAGAGTGATTACAGCAGACAGACGCACATGCTTAAATCGTCATCGAATTTTACCCTGATCAAGAATATATATATATATATATATATATATACTTCATAGGGTCTGAAATTATTATTTCGGTGAGTTACAAACGGAAATACAAAATTAGTATACCCTCCATACTATGGTGGAGGGTATAAAAATATATAATTGGGTTGACATTGGAGACTCCTGGTTGAAAAACGGCATAAAAAGTGCCCAATCAATCAGTGCTGCAAGCGTGCCACCATAGATATGCAAGACTAAATGCCTGCTTCAACAAGGACAACCCCCCTCTTCAATGACAATATAAATATGTAACTCCCTTGTTGTTTGTTTATATTACGTTTTTAATTATATATCTGCTTGCAGGGACTTTAACAATTTTTTTTAAAAATAATTATAAATACAAATTTGTTTTTGCGCGAACGTATTTATCGCATCACCTTAATGAGTAAGATTTGTTATGTTTATTGACAGTACATGAACCCTGTATTAAACTTTCATATTTTTTTATAAACAATAATATGCCCACTTACCTATAAAACTTTTTCGTTTATTAATTGTTGCTGTTATTTGAGCCGATACACCAAAATCCGCCAGTTTCACATCACCATACTCCGTCAGTAGGATATTGGCACCTTTAATATCTCGATGCATTTTACCCATGGAATGCAGGTACTCTAAACCTTTTAATGTTTCACGGCACATATAGGCGATTTGTTGTTCGGTTAGTGGACCGGTTACCTGATAAATGTCTTGCAGACTGCCACCACCACAATATTCCATGCAAATCCACAATTTGTCACGTCGTAAATATGAACCATAATAGGCAATTATGTTCGGATGGCGGCAATCCCGCATCATAATAATTTCCTGCTGAATGATTTGTATATCGTCTGTGGGTTCCAATTTGATGACTTTTATGGCGGCCAATTCATTGCTCTGTATACGTTTCGCCTGAAAGGGAGAAAGAGGAGTTAGAAAAGTTACTAAATTGTGTTTTATGGAGGATGTTGTTAAAATGTTATATTTAATATTATTATGAAGACAATCCCTCATATCTTGGGGCATTAAAGATGAATCTGAACTAATTTAATATCTTTTCGATTTTTCTCCTCTTTTTGGGTACATTAAAAACTTATCTCAAGGATTTTAATGTCATTTCGCTTTTATGATTCGGCAAAATGTTTTGTCCGCACATAAAATTATTTCAAGATATTGGTCAATGTTTCAGCCATTGGTTTGTCCAAATGCTAAATGATTCCAGTTACAGTCATGCTGCGCCTCAAGCAAATGACCCTCCTCTACCCTGACGCATAATAAAAAAACTGATAAAATTTTACAGCAATCACTGAGTTTTCCATTACCAACGAAATTCAATTAAAAAACTGCAAGATAATGAAATTCATTTTGGGAACGAGGAAGATTCACATAAAAATTCTCGGAAATAAAACTTGCAATTTATTTCGGGTCACCCCACCTCGAACTTATTTCACTCACACACACACAGTGAAAGTGAAAACATAAGAAGAAAATTCAAATTTATTTGGTGTGGGATTTTTTACATAAATTAAAGTTTTTTTGTGGTGAGGCGTCCTTGGGTTCCATTCTCCCCTCCTGCTGGCTGGCTTTTCAGGAATCGAGTCGTGAATAATAGTAACCAATGAGAAAAAAAACACGGCGCGCACTCACACATTGAAATACCATCACACTAGAAAAATATTTTTTAAAAAATTGCTATTGTCGTCGTCGTTTAGCCCGATTAAAATTTGTTGTTTTTTTGAAGAATGAATGTATACGAGTATGTATGAATATTGAGGATGGTCGGGGGATGTTTTGGTTGAAGAGTGAAAACTCATCTTCAAAATGATAGAGGGCGACAGCATTTGCGACAAAAAAATCCGTTATTTTATTTGCAATTCACTAACGACCACTTCCAAAAATGGTGCAGCTACAATACGACGCCTGAACTTCACCACTATTTGTGGGTGGATATTTTCATTTGTGGCTGAAGCTGTTGTTTTTATTGTGCGCCCAGCTAAATGTTTTTACTGTCAATATGACCCCTCTTTCATGCAAATGCATGAATACTGCAGCTATTACCAAAATAATAATGGAAGAACAAGTGACACCCATCCGCAGTTGAGGTGACGGCGGTGGTGATGATGGCGCTGTTTTGTGAGGTTATGGTAACTCAAGTGTCACTCATGTTCAAATGAAAATTGTTGTTATCATACACAGTGGTTAAATGTTAGGTGGGTTTGGTTAACAGTTAACACCGTAGTTAAAAACAACAATTTTCACACATGATAATTTCTAAAAAAAAGTTCAATCATAGGATAGGGAATATGTTGACTTTATTGCTGCTATATCCACATATAATAGTTTCAGACCTTTAAATTAAATTGAAAATTTAAATACTTGACAAAGTATCGACGTATGCTTAAATAGTATCGCGATTTTCAATATTATATCATTAGTAGAAGCCAGTAGTATACCTACATGATCACTTATTTAAGTATCTCTTGCCGTAATATCCTTTTGTATACAGAAAAAGCGTTTTAATAAATATTTCCATAATTTAAATTATGGTTAATTTTTCCATATTGTACATGTACCGCGCTTTGAATACAGGTAAAAATTCTTATAATCATGAAAAATCAACTATTATTTCCAAAAAATTTAAACATTTCATTAATATCACAACTATTTTCCTATCTCGCTCTACTTTACCACTATTTTCTATCATTTGTCCTCTCTTTGTCTTTTCTTTTCAATGACAAATATATTAAATAATAATATATTTAATATAATATAATAATAATATAATAATATAATAATAATATATTTTATTCGCAATCGTTTATTTAACATTGTTTCTTTATTTCCGATACTCTTAGCGACCTTTGCATTGGTGTTACAAAATTCGCATATGTATTTTCCAAATTATTTTGATATAAATAAAAATAAGCCCAACTAAATGTTTAATATTGTAAAGTAAGTAAGAAGAAGTGAGACAAGACAAAACGAAGGAGAAGAAAATAAAAAATCAAAGTAGAAAAATTAAAACAACAAAGAATACACACTAAGTATTAAAAGTTTTACGAATTGTATTCATAAAATGTAGAAATCACAACATTAGCAACATTTTCTGAACACTATTCATATAATATACGTATTTTTTTCGTTTACTAATTTAGGTATATATATCTGCCCCAAAAATAGAATAATCAAAAAAGGATGATGGCAAACTTGAAATCTTGAAACTAAATATGTTTACAATACTTAAATACTAACTTAAATCTAAGGTTGGTGCGGTGGGCGTTATTGTATACCAAATTGCTCCAGTCTGAAAAGCAAAATCTACTGTGGTAAAAAAAGAAGATCCTTACTCCGTACAGCTCATTCATTCTAGAGAAGGTTGCGGGCGGCAGGTGCTTACGAGCACACAGCTGATCCGCATCCTCCGCACAACGAAATAAGTCCTCAACTATGCTATTCTCAACAAATTGACACCTATCAAAGAATGTGAGACCACACCTGCTCATGAAAAAATCAATCCAATCAATTTGTGCCTTTTCCTGGAATCTCAATTATGTGAAATGCGTCTCCTGTTATACATCTTGGCTGGTCAACTATTGTCGTTTTTTCCTGACAACAGTTGATCCCAATGTGACAGTTTTGCGTAGTTCCGCCATATGCCACCGGGGGTTCCAATGTCGTATTTTAATGATATTTAAATAAATCTAAATTACACAGCAATAATTTAGTTTTATTTTAATTTATAACTTAAATAATTTTAATTCATTTCTTAAACAAAAACAGTTCCTAAATAAAAATGATATTTAAAATAATAATGTACACCAAAAACGGGCAGCATGAATTATGGGCGTTACAAGCCGACGTGTGAGAGTTCATGGTGCATCATGACTCGTCTTCTCTTGTACGTTTCTCGAATTTTGAGGAAGTCTTCAGAAAAACAAATTGGCCGTCCTGCTCAAACGTCCACATGATAAATTTTTCCGAAAAAAATAAATTGGGCAACTCTATGAAGACCCACTCATTCGTTTGATGTTGATTAGTAGTCCGGTAAACTAACAACTACTCTCTCATAATTTTCTATACTATTATTACTATATTATATTCCAGCTAAGTAGATAATTGTTTTGCTTTAGCTTGTCCTAGATAATAAGGCTGCCTTCTATCGTAGAGTTGAAACAACGCTTCCTTGAATTTTATGCAGAGGTTGGAGTCCATGCTTGTTTAGTGTTATCATTTTTCTCTAGGTGGCGCTATCTCTTACCTATCCTAAATTATTTGAACCTTTTGTGTAGGTGATGCAAGAAGGTCTAATAAAAATATTACGATGTTTAAAGTGTAGACCAAGTAGTCCAAAACGGATTTGATCCAAATGATCTTGAAGTCGGATATGTCGATATGTTATAAAATAGGTTTTTGTAATCCAAAGAGTTTGTAAGGGCAAGAAGTATCGATCCTCGACACACCTATAAGTATACCGAAATCTTATCTCAACTAGCTGAGTCGATCTAGCCATGTGTGTCCGCCAGTCGATTATAATTTGTAAACAAAAGCACTGGCCGCACTTATGAACACTTGGCATGTAGGTCCGGCTCTATCCAAAGGAACCTATAGTTATAGTGATCGGGTAATATTTAAGGGATGAAATGGACCGAAAACTTTATTTAGAGACAATCATATGAAAATCACAAAATCTATGTCTATTGTAATGGATCTGACAAAAGATTATTCATGACTGTATTAATCAGCATTAAATGGGTCAGAAAGAGCTAGACTTTAGAATTAAAATGGCATTCTATGGCCTTTATTTTTAATCTAGAAAAATTATCAGATATGAACGCATCCGATATAATTATTTATCCTTTATAACTAAAATAATCTATTTCTTAACTTTATATCCCGCCATCTGGTTTTTTAAACATTTCTATAAATTTCCAGATATACACTTTAACCACCACCTCTACATACTGTCATCCGCAACTGCCGTTTAACGCAGTGTTTACTTTCTGAGTGATTCTCTAACAGAGTTTTAAATGTCGCTCCCTCTTACCAAAATATTGTTGGTTGAATTGTTGGACAAAATGGATGTGTTATTGTTATACGACAACAATATCATGTGGATGCGTTTGTATGTATTCGCAGCATGTACATGCACATTCGAATGAAATATAAGTGAATGAATTTGTTCATATTGAAAGTGGGGAGAGGTGGGGGTGAATTGTTTATTTACAGGTCAATGGTTTTAAGCAATTTACCCAAAATATCATCTATCTCGTATGCTATAAAGTTAGTAGGCCGCCCTTGTGTTTGTTTTTATTGGTACTGCTGCTACTACCACTAGTGCTAGGAGTACGCTACTATGGTATAAAACCAATATCAAAAGATCCATTACTATTCATTTCGATTCATTGTTATTATCTTATTGGAATTTGAAATTTTGAATGTGCCTGCATGGCTGTGTATGGGTTAGTGAATGATTTGCATATTGCATCAGAGTTTCCGGTTATTTGTTTTAGTGTGTGCCAAGTGAATTTGTATGTGTGTGTATGTGCGAGTGAGACAATTGGTCTATTGGATATTTACAATTTTATTTTCACAAAATAGGGCAATAATTGCATTCAATCGTTTAGAAAGTTGATGTTATATAATAAATCATTTAATGAGAAAACTATAAATATTGCTATGCCAAGAGGAGAAAAACAAAGCAATTTGTTGTTAGTCGGTAAAATAACGATGTTATTAATTTTTTATATTTTTTTACTGTTACATATCTTGGCAGCATTGGGCTTCCAGAAGGAATGGTCTGATGTGATCTGTCCTAGGTGTTGATACCGTCATCTATTGTTACATAGAAATAACTTTTACTTGAATTTTAAGCGGTGATTGAGGTCTTTACTTGTTTGGTGTTGCCATTTTCC